GGCCTGTCGTTTCCGTAACAGTATTTATAAACCAAATTCTTAAAGATTTCTTAAATTATGTCTAAAAGCTCTGTATGTTCCTTTTTCCTTCTTATAACCTAGTAACCAAGACAATTAGTTTAACTCTCAATTAAAGCTTTTTTCCCAATGGTTTAATTAAAAAACCATTTAGAATAGGACCATGCTCCATTAGAGCTTATAATCTGACTTTTCTCTCCTCTTTTTTTGTGTTAGATCTGTTTATCTGGACTATCTGAGTATTTCTAAGGTGTGTTCATAATGACCAGAATTGGGTTTTGATCAGTTAATAAATTAAGTTTTCCAGAAGAGGGAGAAAGAAAAGTAAGGATGTATGAGAGAGCTGTTTGCAATGGATATGGAAATAGTTACTGACCACTGTAAAAATCTTAATCATCTTCCCTTTGCAAAAAGGAGAAAACTATTTCAATATATAAAAACAAGAGAAAGTGAGTCATTACAGCCAGTCTTAGCCCTTTGACAATTCCATCAGACCATAGGATTAAATCTTTGAAGAATATAAAAAAAGAGGGAGGTCTCTTAAAATAAAGTAAATAATTTCTCTTTTAGACAAACAAGACAGAGAACCCCCTCATGAGGGTTTAACAGAAGAACTTTTAGATGTTTTGCATTTTTATTTAAATTTCATTTTGAAGCAATGCATAACAATAAAAATGCTAATCATTGAATATTCAGAGTTGCATTCCCTTTTTGTTCTCAAAGTACTTTCAAGTGAATAATTGTGCTCATGTCAAAAGTACTCCATTATGACCACTGTAATTCCAAATTGTTCTTGATGAAACTATGCTTTTTAGAAAAAAAAAATGCAAGAAAGATAAAACAGAAGCCAGAGTTATGCCAGGAGGTAGTACTTGTTTATTGTTAAATGAATCCATGAATTCATTAGGTAAAAGCCAGTGAACAGGTAAAATACCTATTATGTCTAAAGCCCTTAACACTAAGGTTGAACCCTTAACAGCTAACCCTAAAAGTCAGCAGGCCAGAATGGGTAGACAGATCTCTCTGAAAGCCAGTTTCTCAAGCATAAACAAAGTTCTCATACATACACAACAATATAGACAATTGACAAACAAGATGGTTAGTATCAAATCAGTACTTCACACCTTCGCTAAAGAAAATGAAAATCCGGACAAATCCAATCAGATAAAGTCCTGGGAACCTTACTCTTACAACAAACTGTCAGAGCAGAATTTTTCTTCTATCCTTCTAGGTTCTTTGGCTGGTCTGATAACTGAATTGACATAAGACAAATTAACAGGAGAAATTTTTAATTTTATACATACAAGAGTCCCATAAAAATATGAGACCCAAAGGCAGTCAGGCAACTGGGGCTTATATACCAACCCAAGCTAAGGAACAGGATAGGGGCCTGGGGCTTCAAAGGGGAGAAGTGCAGTTCACAGGAAGATGAGAAGAGGAGGTGTTTAGTTATCACATGTTTGCCCTGCCATGCAGTTAAGTCTTTCAGATAAAAAATCTTCTCTGGTAATGGCCCTCTTTCTGGGCCAGGCCCCCTATCTAAATTATTTTAGGCAGTTAAGGGAGACATAAAAATGTTTGTTAAGTCTGCTGGGTCTTCATTGCCTTCAGTTCAAAATAATCCACATGCCAAATGGACACATTTGGAGGTGGCATATTCTGCTCCCCTTCAAAACACAATAAATTTCAGCTGGCTTTGGGCACTCAACAAAAAAAAGCAGAACTTAATGTAAGGCTGGATTTTGCTGGATTTATCATCATAAAGAATCTCCTGAGCAAAGAGGCTTAAGAGACCTCCATAGAGTGCAGTGTAACCAGTAGGAGAATACTGGTAGCAAGAGGTCTTCCCTAAGTGTTGGTGGGGACCTTCATGACTATCACGGTCCTAATGTACGGACCACCAGAGGTACCTGTTGGTCATACAAAGCTGGACATATTAAAGTTTCTGAACGAGGGAGAACATCTTGTTGACAGAGTATCAGTAATGTCTCAAAGAGGGAACTTACAGAAAGATACTTACAGGATTTTGAGAACTGGGATTGGTCAGGGGGTGGTTTTAAGGTAGAAGTTAGTAAGTCAGGTCTAGGCAGAAACTGGTCAGAGTTTATAAAATAGGTGAGTCACTGAAACAACTCCATTTTATCTTTGGAGCACAAGTCCGTGGAGTTACCACAGTCTCTATCTGTCCATGATCTTGTAGGAACGTGTAGGTGTAAACAAGCTTGTGTTATAACAGCTTGACTTAAGATAGTTTGAGTTACATATCATGGTTTAAGATAGTTTGAGTTACATATCATGGTTTGGTACAGTTTACCTGTTACGCAAGTAATAATACAGTTTTGCATGTTGATATTTCCATTTTATTTTTCAGAAGCAAAGAGTTTGTAGGCAATTATTAGGCTTTGGCAGAAATTCAGATACATTTACTGAATGCCAGAAATTGAGGAAGATGGGGGTTAGTAAGAGAGTAATGAAAATGTAGGATCAGTGAGGAGATGGATTAGGATATTCTTAAGGATTGAGACCTTTGGGAAGATAGTAATCAAAGGAGAAAAGTAATCAAAGTTTAAATGTTTGAAAGCTGGAAATATAGTGGCACCACTGACAATAACCAAAACAGGAAATTGAGAGTTAGTGTGTAGAGATATGACGGTAACAAGATATGCAGTTAAAGAGTTATGTTTTGTTTTACCTTGTATTATATTTTTTTCTTTGTATTTCAACTATGATAAGTTTTAGGCATCGCTCCAGAGATGACCAGAAGTATAAGATGCCAGAAAATAAGACTCCATTTTAAAGGGGAATACCATGAATTTTTCCTAGTATATTCAGTCTTAAAATCCTCCATTTAATTCTGTATATTTTCTTTGAAAATACTTAAAATACACTGTAAATCCGACACCCTAATTTAACTAGCTATTTAACTAGCTATTATTTCATTAAGTCAATTTTACAGACAATCAACTGGGTTCTCCAGTGATCTCTCATTGTTCTATTATTTCTGGAACTGTTTTGTGGCAAAATAATGGAAAGGAACAAGAATGACAAACACCCTAATTAATAACAGGGAAATCTTACTTAGTTGGTGGTCAGTACCCTTTTGTGAAAAAAATTATATAACCACTCAGTTTTCTTTCTGAAGCAACTTTTCTGATTAATGGAATTAAAGAGCTGCAAGCCTTGGCCTTTATAAAATTATGATAATGTCAGTAATCATGTGTTAATTAAGATCAGAAAATTAATCTATATTAGGACTGCAATAGCAATTTTCCAAGTTCTGCCAGTGACTAAGGATGAAAGTGGGTTGCAGTGTCACATGGCATCTGATTAAGTTAGATTAGCGCAGTATCTGAAGGGAAGTCTCCCAGGTGACAGTGAATAACATGATCAGAGTTTTTCTCTAGCTATTTTAAGGGGACAGTTGGTTGCAAAGCTACTACTTTTCCAACATAAAGCCAAAGGTCTGGCCACATGGGATCACTAATGAGTCAGAAGGAAGATTGAAGGGGCTGGAGGTTATTGTTTGGCAGAACCGAGATATGAAGCCCTGGGTACAGGCCATATTAATATCCTAAGCATCTGGAATGTGCAGGCTTGCCTTAAGCCTCCTAAGATAATATTCCAGATTTTCTGACTTCAAAGATGTAGTTTTTTTTCATTTTGTAATATTTCTGAAATCAAAGTACATCTTAAAATTGTGTAAATTAAAGTTGCATGTTGTGTGTGTTTGTGTGTTAAGGACTCCCTACTCTTAACTATTTTATAATAAGTGTTAAATCTGTGTCCACATTATAAACTAATTCCATCTATATAGCATCTAGGAGTAACAATATAAGAACAACTGAGGGAAATAGGTGCTCTTTCAATATTATATAAAGAAAGAACAGAGAATCACAAATAAAAATTTATTGTATATTTATCTACATTAACTGAGTGTTATCTCAATTCTAACAACTACCTTTCAAGGAAGTTATTATTACTACATATTATAAATGAGAAAATTACTGTATAATATGTTTGGGCAACTTGAATTTGAACCTTATCTGAATCTCAAGCTCTTGCTACTGTACCACATTGCCTCATTGGAGCATCCTAACATAAAATAAGCTTCTTAAATTTTCTTCATTGACATATAATAGTAGATATTAAATCTCCAAAGGATGATTTAGTTCAGAGTCATGGAATTGTGGGTATGTGCATTTAAGTATTATTTGTTTACGTTTGCTAATAGAAACTTGATAGCTGGCTCCCCCTCCTTCAAAGAAGTTTAATTTCTTCAGTACTGTTGATACCACTTCAGAAAAGACATCAAAAATCTTGAAAGAAAAAAATAAATGATCATTCTCAGACTTGAGAATATCGAGTCACACAGTCTATACCTCAGATATTCTCAGTGAAAGACAAATTGAAAAATAATGTTGGAAAGAAAAAGAATTTTTTTTTTTAATTTGACCCAATAAACAACCACTGGGAAGGCCAGTATCTCCAGAGCACTATTTTGTCAAACTGTAGCCAAAGCTGGTGTGATGTTTAGCCTGCTGTTTGGTCACCACTTAAATTCCTGTGTGTTTTTTTTAATTCTGGAGGAACATTTTCTCATCCTCCCATACTTTCAATACTTATCAAAGATCCTTTGAGCATATATCTTCTGTGTGCCAGATACTGGTATGTGTGCTAGATATGCTAACCTCTGTTTACTAGGTCTATTTATTTTCCATTAACAGTAAGCAACATTATCCTAAGAAAATAATTTGTGGTGTGTGTATTTTTGTTTTTGTTTTTGTTTTGGCTTTGTAGCTGCTAAATCCTGAAGATGACCTCTTACCAGGAAAGATTCGAGACAGCAATCGTTCAACCCTCTTAGCAACAATCCAGGAACATGGTTACCCTACAATCAACTTGGGAATTGTGGGAGACAAGTAAGTATTGGATTTTATTTTAAAGTTGTTATTGTACAAATAGGAATCTGGGGAGTACTAACTAGGTGGGATTGTTGCTAAAGAGAAAGAAATTTAATACCGTAACTTTCAGCTACAACTATTTCATTCTTCAGAAGCCAAAGAATTATGTAGATGTCTGTGTCCTTTAGTGATAGACATTTTCCTGAAATGCCTTTTACTACAGGAGAAATATTTTGCTCTTCTATGGGTGTTATTCCTATTCACACTTTTACTTGTTTTAAGAAAGACAAGGAAGACATAGGTGAAAAGAGTAAGAGAGAAATGTCAAAATTAGCATTAATGGATTCTTTGAAGTTTAAGTACAATTATTTTCTAGGACTTCTATATTGATTTTTGTATCCTTATATAACCTGAGTTTCTCCAGGCTTCACTTACTTGTAAGTTCAAAGGGAGGCGCATTGGCTATAATTGTCCATCTTTAAGAGCATATTACCCCATTTACTAAATTAACTCAGCTCTCTGCTAAATTCCCCGAGCATTTCTGTAAATCTCCGGCTGTGTCACATGTGATCAAAAACAAGCCTGTTCTTTCTGAGCATCCCACTTCTGTGCAGTGCTGCTGCTCAGCCGTCTTTCACCAGCCACTGTTTCCAGTTCACCAGAGGTGTGCCTGCTCTGAGTAATACTCAAACATCAGCCTGCTGAAGACAAAGCTAGGAGACAAATCTGAGTGATGGATACCATGATGTACCTGTCACCCATAATTGCCTCTTTTCTCTCTTATCACCACCTTGTCACTGAGAAAAGCTCATTATGCCTGGATCCTTCTTCCCTTAAAATGAGTGCTTTCTCAGGACTCAGATGTGCTTTTGAAGAGGCCCTGCCCTACCGTTTCACAAAGTATTCTCAGACACCTAACAATCCCCAGCTTAGGCTCAACCTGGACATAGCACAGTCCAAATGTGGGACACAGCATCTTGCCAGTAACCTGAAGGGTAGTAGCTTTTATGTTAATCTCACCTTTTAAAGTTCTCTTCTTTCCTCCTGACTTTATTATTTCTGAGGACACTGGAGAAGAGGCTGTTAGATGTATTTTCAAACATCATTTTTAAAAAACATCTCCGCCATTTGTATTTACCTGGAAGTTAAGTTCATAGGTAAGTAACCAGCCAACTTAGAGCCCATACTGGTGAAGCCAGTGCTACAGGTTCCCTACTATCACCCTAACCCAGGCTCCCTATCCCTGGGAAGGGATAGAAAGAACCCACGGGAAAAAAACAGGGCCTGTGGGCTGTTGAATTTGGACCTGACCCTTTCATATAAACTTCAAGGACCTAAAAATTATCCTGATGTAGCTACACCTTTAAAGACAAAAAAATTGATGAACGCAAGAGTTCCAGCAGCACTGAACAGGCCTGAAACTCTAGCAAACAAACTAACTAGATTTAGGGTTTTTTACCACCCACCACTGGCTCTGGCCCTGCCTCCAAGTGCATTAATGAGCTCTAAGAAATATTATCACGTGACAGGTGGTGTGTGTGTGTATGTGAGATTCATATCTTAAGCTATCCTGGGCTATAATTCTGTCCAGTCTCTCCCTAATGTTGTACTTCTGTATACAAAAAAAAGAAAAAGTAATTTAATATGTACCGTGTATGCTGCCATTACCTTACCATAAAGCCAAAACACCATTGAAAGGTTCATATGTTGATATGCTACTGTTTGCAGCCAATTATTGATTTGTTGTAGATATTTGCTAATGATTAATGTTGATATTAAATATAACTTCAAAATGTATCTTGGAAGCAGCATTTGAAGAACAACAAACTGTAAGCAATATATCGGCAATTCTGAGAATATACAAATCCCTACTGTATATCCTTTTCTTGGATAGAATACCTTACATAAAACTGAGACGTTTTTAAAAATACAATTGATGCAAATCAGAACTTTCTCAGCCTCAGAGTGCTATATTGAAGAGGCCCAGAGTAAATGATTTCGAATGCAGAGGTGGAATGTGGGAGGAAAGAATTTCTAACTGTTCAAATGGAAATCTGTGCTGGGAATTTAGCAAAGGAAACAAGGTACATTTAATCTGCAGCCTGTTGATATTCTGTGAAGGTTGCCTCCCTCTACATTATTCTCTCTCCTATATAACTGTTTGCTAATGAAAGCGAATGTTATACAGAAGCCTCTGTGTGAAGCTCTCCAGGGAAACAAGCAGGGTCAAGGGAGAAACTGCACCATGTTTAAAGCGGGGAGAGAAACAGCTCAAAAATGTCAGCAAGCACAGAGCCCTTACTCAGCTACGGCAAATAAGAGGAGGGAGTGTGAGCACTATTCTTGTATTTAAAAAAGGTTTCAGTCTGGGTTTAAATTCTATGTGATTCTACTTCTCAGTTCTTACTCTTATCACCTACCATAATCTTAACAATGTTAAAATTGAAGAGTAAGACTCTGTAATTTATTTGCATTGAATTGGGATGAATTTTGCCTTTGTTTCTTGTACATTTTATATAAAAGGGGGAACAGTGAAGATTATGGGACCGGTGTTTCAGATACCTGAGCAACAACTATATTTTTAAGACACTCATTTAAAAATATTATGTGTATATTAAAATACATTCCTTAGACGTATTTTCTCACATTGAATGGAACACCGTACTATTAGGCTTCCTAGTATTTTTTAGAAGACAAATTTTTTTATACTTTTTAATTTTTTTATTGAGGTATAGTTGATTTACAATTTTATGTTAGTTTCAGGTATATAGCATAATGATTCAAAATTTTCACAGATTATACTCCATTTAAAGTAAAATATTGGCTATATTCCTTGTGTTGTACAATACATCCTTGAAGCTTATTTGTTTTATACATAGTAGTTTGTACCTTTTAATCCCCTAACCCTAGCTTGCTCCTCTCCCCTTCCTTTTGCCCACTGGTAACCACTAGTTTGTTTTCTGTATCTGTGAGTCTGTTTATGTTTTGTTATACTCATTCATTTGTTGTATTTTTAGATTCCACATATAAGTGATAACATTCTGTATTTATCTGTCTCTGTCTGACTTAACACTAAGCATAATACCCTCCAGATCCATCCACATTATTGCAAATAGCAAAATTTCATTCTTTTTTATGACTGAGGAGTATTCCATTGTGTATATACCACACACACACATACATACATATATACACACACACATACCACATCTTCTATTCATTCAGCTTGATGGACACTTTGATTGCTTCCATATCTTGGCTACTGTAAATAATGCTGCTTATGAACATGGGGTGCATGTATCTTTTCAAATTAGTGTTTTTGTTTCCTTCAGATATATCTTCTGGAGTGGAATTGCTGGATCATATGGTACTTCTATTTTCAGATTTTCAAGGAACCTCCATACTGTTTTCCATGGTGACTATACCAGTTTACATTCCTACCAACTGTATTCAAGGGTTCCTTTTTCTCCACATCCTCACCAACATTTGTTGTTTGTGGTCTTTTTGATATAGCCATCGTGACAGATGTGACGTGATACCTCATTGTGGTTTTGATTTGCATTTCTCTGATGATAGCAGTGTTGAGCATCTTTTTAGGTGTCTGTTGGCCATCCATATGAAAAAGACAGATTTTTAAACCCAGAGATATTAAGTGAACTTGCCCAGCATTACAGAAGTTAATGGCAGAGGTGGAAATGGAATCCTGAGTTTCTTGAAATTAACAATCCACAATTCTTTGCTCTCATGAAGACAAGATAATAAATATAAATGTCAAAAGAGAGGCATCATTATGGGCTGGAGTGATCAGAGAGAGTTCTATAAAGGTGCAGTTTTAGCTAGAATAGGAAAGATGTTAGGATCTGTATAGTTAGAAAAAGAGAGTGTGTTAACCAAGTAAGAAACATGGAATGAACAAAAATAGGGAAGTAGAAATGAATAGCTTACTCAGGTCAGCCCAGACTGATTCAAGTAGGAGGTTCAGATAGAAGGATAATACATGTAAATTTAGAAATTTGAGAACAGATTTTGAAAGGCTTTGCAATCCAGGCAGAACTACCCAATTTGGTTAAATTTGCAGCTTTCTTAAAAAGCAGAATTAACATAATAAACCATTATTTTGGAAAGATAGTTTGATGAAGGTGTATCACATGGGCTAACGTTGGGAGACCTCCTAGAAATAAGAATAACAGTACAATTTGTTTATTCATTGCTCAGTTAGTCAGGAATTGATTGTATACCTATGCAAATCACCTAGAGATCTTATTAAAAATGTTGATTCTGAGTCAACAAATCTGGAATGGGCCAAGATTTTACATTTCTAACAAGCTCCCAAGGATACCAAGCTGCTGCTGGTCCATGGATCACAGAAGTAACAAGGATGTAGTCAATTGAATCATATATCCACTATGAATTTTAAGCCAAAGTTATTGAGGATACAAAACTGAAATAGATACAGATCTTGCCCTTAAAATTACCTGCAGCAGAACTGGGGTTTTATTGTACATTGGTAAGCATATTCTAATAATTCAGCAAAATTTTACGAAGGGTTATGCTATATCAGGCATTGTCCTGGTATTTGGTACTGCAAGGATGAATAAGATAGTTTATTAGTGAGAACTACAAAAAAGTTTTCAATTCTTTTCCACTCCTCTCTTTCCTCCCCATCCAATCCACATCCATTTTCTCCAGCCTCCTCAATCCAAACATGTCCATCTTTACCTGGGAAAAGACAGTAATCTCCACTTACCACCTACTATATGTATAGCACTATACTACACTCCTTCACTTACTTGGCCTATTTAGGCCTCATGAAACAACAGTCACGTAAGTGTCTTAAGTGTCTTTTATACTCATTTTGTAGATAATAATACTGAAGCTGAAAAAAATTAAGCTGTTCAGAGTCATACAACTAGTAAAAGACAGAGCAAGGAGGCCAACCCAAGCCTGTCCAACTCCAAGGTCTTTCACCTTCTGCTCTACCAAGCTGCCCTCTTAACTAGACTTAGCACCCATAATTT